CTATGAGGGCAGTGAACACATGGCACTACCCCGGGGTCTGTCCTCCCCAGCCACCCCTCGCCATGCTTCCATCACACGCTTCCTTTCCTTCCTGGTTCCAGGCACACAGAAAACAGCAGCAGCACCAGTCCTGCGTTTCCCCTATTTCCATTTTGCACTTGTAACCGAGGAGCTAAGTGCAGTGAATCACTGGGGCTGTTTCTCCTGCAGGTGATGCCCATCACCATCATCATGGAGGCTGCCTGCTAAAGGCAAACACGTGCTGTGTTGGTAAATAAGGCAGGAGAATTTTCTGCCTAGCACAACTCAGAGCCAAGATGCAAAACCGGTGAGCTGCTGTTCTCAGTCTCAGCCTTTTTAACACCCTGCAAAACGTTTCTCACCAGGGACCAAGAGTGCAATGACAGCACACCATCCTGAGACTTCTGTAATGAACATCATCTGCCTCTTGGTGTTCATCATGGTCCAAGTCCTCAGCGCACTTCTCTGTACCCTCAGCGTGCTGAGGCACTCTCTGCACATCCAGCTGCATCTGCAGCAAGAGACAGCAGGTTGCCAGAGGAGTCTATTTTCCTAAAATTCATTTGCTCTGCTGTCTTCAGGAAATAGGATGCCTGCTTCTGCCCTACCAGGTATAATGGAACCTATATTTTATCTGTTGCCTTTGTGTGAAAGTGTGAGAAAGGTTGGTTTATTCCGCTCTGTGGCTGAGGCAGAGCACCTGGGCATGCAGACAAACTATTGCTACAGACAAACAAGTGCACGTGTAAATAAAAGTGGGCTTCATTAAAAATGGTGACACATGATATTCTTTCAGATGTTTTCAGACAGATCCCTCTTGTTTCACCTAGCTAAAACCAGCAGCTTCTTTTAATGCTGTCCTAAAAATTCATCATAAAATGGTGGATTAGTCACAGTTGTCACCCAGTTGGAAGTGAGAGCTACGGCTTTGCCTTGACATATTGCTGCAATCCAGCTAGCCAGCTCATTTGTGAAGACTAATTAATACACACTCCAGCAGCACTAAAATATAAACAAACAAACAAACAAATAAAATGTTTTTATTAAAAAGCTGTAGTTTTAAAGCTACAGAGTAGCAACTTGCCCCGGTAACACACGCATGCTGGTCATGTACTCAGCATTTTGCTACCTGGTTTTGGCTCCATCCTAGGGCTTCAGGTCTCACAGAAGTCTCACTCTTGATGACTACAATACAGAAGTTACCACATGCATGTTTTGGAAGGCTAAGAGGAGCTGTATGCTGACAGGTAAAGATTTGTATAGTTTTTGGAGAAGTGAGGGGCAGGCCATAACAGGCTTTCTGGAAGCACTAACAGCACAGTGTATTTGAGCATAAATAGAATAATCACTTCTATCAGCAGGGTAGGCAAGACTGCCACTTGCTCTGACATTAACGCATTTATTGAGTTAGTGTTCCTGAACTCGGTGCACTAATTTATTTTTTACAGTGATTAGACCCCACTGGGAGCACACAAGAGCAAAGGGGTGAGACTGACCACCTAGCTGATGAGCAGCCTTTCCCCTGGTTCATTAGAAGACAGTTGGCAAAAGCATTCTGCTCTCACACACAGTGCTAGCATTGCTTACCAACTCAGGAAAATCAAATGCAAAAGAAGAAATGCATCTGAGGCATGAAGGGAAGAAAGTCCAAGCAAATACCTATTTATAATGCTACTGCAGATCTAGCTCAGACATATCCGTTGGGCAAAAGGGTATGAACAAGCATTTTGTTCTCAATTCTCTTTTTCTTTCTCTCTGATATAAACTTGAGGCTCTACAGAAAAACAGAAAGCTACTTCAGCTCTCATCAAATCTCAAAACAATTTTCAGCTATAAGAGAACTGTGTGTTGTGGAATACAACATAATAAAACCAACGTATATGTTGTTCAGCTTAAACTATCCCTCTAAGTCTGAGCCTTCTGTTAGCCGTGCCAAGCAGAGCTCTGAGAGTCTCCCTCCCAGCTTCTGCAAACCTATAAGAAACTCCCTTGGAAGGTAAAGAGGTGAGTGTGGCAGGGGGTTAGGTTTGGGTTGTTGGGGTTGGGTTTTTTTTTTTGGTTGGTTGGTTGTTTTCTGAGTACACTGGTATCCTTTACGTGCTATAAAATCAAAGCAATTGAAGACCATTTTCTAAAACTAGGAGCCAGTTAGGAAAACCACTGCAGCAACAGGAGGAAATAAATTATGAAAAGACAAAAACATAAGGAATGGAAACCTAAGAAAAATTATCCTGCTGGGGCATTACATATTTGATTGAAGATAAGAAATGGCAAAAGCTAAACCAGCCCTAATATGTCAAGCTGTTGAAGTTACTTAATGCATCATGGAAGGAAGACCAGAGGCAGGCACAAAGTGCAGGGAGAAACATGAGGATGTGATCATCCTAGGTTCAGGAAGAATGGAGATGAGCTCTGAGCTGTCTGAATAGTGCTGGACCATACACAGGTACAGCTACTGAAGAATGAGATGTTATTAAGGAAAAATAGTGGAATAGGGTGAATGGCCACCCAAACTTCCTTAGGCTCTTCTTCCAAATCTGTCTGAGCACATTGCCCTTTATGATCTTTGCTTATTACAAATAAGCAGTAAGTTCTGTTTATTTTTTCAAGCCTTTTCACAATACAAAATCTAGCATAGCGCTCAGTCCTTTGCTGAGCTGGAAAATTAGCACCATGGCTGTATGAGGACTTCTTACAAGTGCTTAGTAGATGGCTCTGCTCTCCCTGCTCCTGCTTCTAGCCTGCAGGATCAGACCTTTCCCTGACCCAGAGCTGTGGGACCACGTTACTGCAGTGGGTGCCCAGCTCTGCCATGACATGGAACATGGGTGGGCTTGGGGCTGGCATCACACAGCGCAGACCTGCTCCAGCTCCTCCTATGCATCCCTCGCTTTGTTCTGGCTTTCACTGCTCACCCAAGAACAACCCCAGGAAAAGAGGCAGCAAGGCTGCTCATGGCACTGTGGCAAGCCGCAGGCAGTGGCTGCAACCAAGACTTTCAAAGAGAATTTTGACAAGATCTTGTCCTCAAATGCAACCGTTCATATGCTTCAGCAGCAGATGCTTTCAAGGTTATCCCCTAAAGCAAAGAGCTTACTAAACAACCAGCCAGACCCTCCTTTCTGAGAACTGCTTCTCCATAATATTAGCCAGTGGTGTAGCATTGTGTTTTCCATTTCCCTCCCACACTGCTGTTATCATTACTATCCATGGTCTTCCCCATGCCATTTTTTACCAGGAAATGTCAGGCCCAATCCACACAGCGTTAAAATGCAATCATTTTCCTAAAAGCAGAACAACTCAGCTACCCTAGACTGGAAGGGAAAATCTAGCTGCCTGTAGTAACACCCGTGGCCATCACCCACCCACACCCATGGCCAACCCATACCAAGGCCCATGGTCAGCCAAGGGTGCAGAGCCAAGGGTTTAAGCAAAACACAAACATTAGGCAAATGTCAGCTTGTGAGGAAAGGTTCAGGCTGGAAAGGTTTATAGCTGCTCCTATACAACATTTAAAAGGAAAGCTGTACTTGACTTCACCTGGCAGAGGTTTGGCAGTGTCCAAGGCACAGTTGCAGAGCAAGCCACGTGTAGGACAGGCACTTATCTGTCATTACAGCACTGCTAGGATTTATCTAACAGACTGTGAAAGGCATCACAGACACACACATTTCTAAATTTGGGAGGGCACACATCTTCTTCTGCATCTTGCTTGATTCATGATGCAGAAGACAGAAAAAAGGAAAAAAAAAAAAAAAGTAAATGGTAACCCAGTCCATGTAAACTAGGATTTTGCTCTTGTTCAAAAAAGATGACTTTTGCTGTATGCTTTTACAGACATGAGGACCAAGGGGTGAAAATTGAAAGTTTTTAATTACAAAGCAGAACTAAAGAACTGTTACCTAAGAGGGAATTAATCCACTAATTTATAGGCAGTGATATTGCAAATTTTCCAAGATATGGAGTATTTAAATGAATGCCAATGTTTTTGTAAAGGATGTTCTCCACTGAGCCCCATTTATTTAGTTTGGTGTGGGCCCCAAACTCCCTATTTGCTATGAAATCCCAGATGACACTGTACCCCTTCCACTGCGCAACAGAATCAGACCAGATCATAAAGCAGAAACATCACTTCGCCTTTTTTTTCTAAAGCACAAATCCCAAAATAGTAAAGTGAAGGAATTTTGGATGACACACAAACCCTTTTATCCAGAAAAAGTTTTCTGTCTAAACCTCTCATCTGATAGGACTAGTAAGAGCTCTTTGATGTGATTAAATCAGGCTAGTGAGGGCAGAGGGGGACTCTGAATGAATTCTTAACACTGTTTCTGGTCAACACGCAAAACGGATTTCAAGGAGACCTTCTGTTCAACCCTCCTCCATAGGAAGCTGTGATATGAGGTAGATACGTGCACAGACAGGAAAGAAGGTAGAAAGATTCCTATCACTCAGCCTTCCCCAGACTTTGACTTTCCTTCACACTTCAGAAAAAAAAAAATCAAAAAAAGATAACCAACATGACTGGCCGCTAGACTTAAAGTTCCGTAAGGAAAGCCTGTGTGCGGGAGATATCAACCCTTCCCCAGACCTGGGCCTCTGTTCCCCCTCAGCTCCTCAGCCACGGTGATGTGCAGCTGCATCTGCCATGAGGCATTACGTTATGTCAGCGATGTAATGCAATAAGAGATACAACTGGTCCTGGCACGTAAGAAAATGACAAATCAGTCTGGAGAATTTGAAGAGACAGTTTTCTGGAGGAACGCAGGTGCAGAAGCTGGGCTTTAACAAAAGTTCTTTCAAATGCAGGAAGTAAACAATAAAAAAGGCCATTTTACCCTAAGTAGATTTTAGAAAATGGGTTTTCTATCCAAATGTTTTGCTACAGCTGCAAGCTGCAGATTCAAAACCTGACAAACAACATTTCTTTCAAACTCCAATATGAAGTGAAAGGCAGAATGAAAGAGACTAAGGGCTTCGTGTCCGTTAGGACCCCACCACTTCATTTTAATCAGGAATCAAGCAAAGACTGTAATAAATTGTCCAGAATATGGCTGTATCTCTGAGTTTTTGCTAGAGGTTCAGCCATTTCATGAGTCGCATCCGCACATTGGAATGAGGAGTGAGCAAAGGTCTTAGTGAGACCGCAAACCTTTTAGCACAGACTATGCTACCTTTGAATGGTGCTGAGGTGGCACTCCCGTTGTTATCAGTCCACTCTGTTCTCACCTTGGTGGCTTCTCTTGCTGGCATGAAAGGTTCTGGGTTCGGCAGTGCGGGTGTCAAAGGATCCCATTTGATCAAGGTTAAGAGATGCTTTTGCAAGAACGGACACCTTTTTTACTTCACTTTTTCTCCACCGCCAATACAGTATATTGCGTCTTTCAATAAAATAACAATTAAAAGGGAGGTTCATGCACTTCTTCCATCATCCTGCATGACACAAAATGAAAGATCCTGCTAATTTTCCCCTCTGAAGCATCACACAGCCTCCTATGTAAAGCCAGGATATATGTTATATAGGATATATGCCCAATGGTCTGGTCAAAGCCTTCACAGCCTGAAACTCGGGCTATGAGATTCTTCAAATGTAAAAGTGACAGAAGAAGCCCTTGTGCTAGTGGAGGGGAGGAGACAGAGAAGAGGAAGGAGAAGACTGACCTCCATCCATGCGCTGGGCTGGCCCTGCTGGGTTGTTCCTCTCTCTGTACACCTTCTGCTGACACCACAGGAAGCTGAGTACCAGGAGCAGGAAAATACAGAACATCAATGCTACAATGAAAAATAAGAGCAATATAAAAATATAAAAATAATTTTTATATTAAAAAAAAAACCACACACACACAAAAACAAACAAAAAAACACCAGCACCAGCAAAACCACCCCAGCAGCGAGAATTGACATGAGAAGATTTGTGCTGACTTGACCCAAACATCCCAGATACTTCAGACATGTGATTTTCGTACTTCGGTACAGGCTGACTTGCTGATGTTTTGCCAGTACTAGAGATAATCTTTTCAAATCATATTATGTGTACAGCATTAATTATGCTTTTGGCTTACATTGCAGCAGAACTGCACAGTTTGCATTTTATTATTTTTTAAAGGAGGCAAAGGAAGAAAGGAAAAAAAAATGTAGGCAATAACATGTCAAAACTGATTTATCAGAGATGCAGATAACTCCTGATACAGGGGGCATCTTAACTCCCAGGGTGCATATGTATCATCAGTTAGACACATAACAGTTGTTACTCTTGAAAAGTTACTACTGGCAGGAACCATCATCAAAGGATGTGATGCTGCTTGAAGTGTCCTCGGTCACTGCTTCTAAAGATTTCTGACCATGAAAAATACTGCAACATACAATAAGGGGTCCACTGGCCTAACAAGGATTTATTTTTCCTCTCACTGGCACACCGATTTAATTAAATAAGATGCCAAACTAATTAACAAGCCTTACTAATAAAACCCACTACCTATTACCATACAAAGCTAAAGCAATTTCTTCCTGTGACTATTTATGAGCAGTTGGTAAGCGTTTACACAGAAGCAGCACTAAAAAATGCCACTGTCTGTGGACCAAGTAGATGGGAAATTGAATGCTGTTTTAAATCACATCTTTCTAAATATATTTATATCCAGCGAGAATTAAAAGAGAAAAAATTCCTGTAAATAAGAATGAAAAACAAAATGTGTCCTGTTTGCAAAGCCACTTGAGCCAACCATGTCCACACATACTTAGAAAAACGTCCCCACACCTCGGTGGCCCTGCAGACCATGACAGATGCCTCAGACATCAAGGCCATAGAAGTAACAGGCCCTGTTAAAACTAAGGGTACATTTAAGCCCGTTCAGTTTTGTCACAAATCCTCATAAATTAAGAAGAATTAATTAGCTATCCCCTTCCTTTAAGCAGGAGGGCAGAGAGCACTGGTGTTGGCTTAGCCACCCAGGACGCTTCCTGCAGCGATGAGCCCTGTGCACATCATCACCAAGAGTATTTCAGACCGACCCAGGTGATCTAATTTTGCAAACATCCCTGAAGGAGAGGATCATTATTCAGGAAACATTCTCTCCCAGGTGGTAGGCACAGTTTCATTTATCATCTTCTGTTAATTGCCATCTCCAACCATCTCGTTCCACTCAGGCGAGTAAAAGAGAAGCTTTCCAGGATGAGGATCACCACCACAAGGAAATAGATGCAATTAGACCTTATATTTTTCACTCTTATGGGAATCTGTGAATTTTATTCCCACTGAATCCAATCTCTTCCTTCGGGGGAGGGGGAGGTGGGGGTGCGGGCAGGAGGAAGCTGCTGTAGGATTGTAGGATTTGTTCAGATAGGAGACAGGGTAGAATAGAAGTGCCGGGAGGATGGCACCACTTTACACAGCCTCACCAGCAGTATGGAAGATTTTTCTCCCAGCATCATACCTAATGTATACTCCCCCTATTGTAACTATACTGCTCATGCCAGGGTAGTAGAAAGTAAGAGAAAGCCTTCCAAACCATGAGAAAACTTGGTGTTTTCCAGAAACTTCTGGACTGCCTAAAGAATTTCATCCAGACTCCATCCAAAATAAAAACGCTGCAACATATTTGCCATCCTTTGAGAATTCCCAAATAAGCCAAAAGTGAAGCTGGAGACGTATAACTGAGTCTATCTATAATTTACAAATGAAGAAGCCATCTAGCTGTGAAATTTATTAAGAGATTAAAAACACTTCTTGAACTCAGCCGTGCTGCCAGCTCCTAGCTGGCACCAGCTCCCTCCAGCAAAGTGGATGACAACTGCACGTTTGGGGCTCCCTTACAGGGGGTAGGGTATTGACTCCAATGCTGGTTCAGTAAATTTCCACTTTTACATCTTTGTGTGCAGGTGTACATATTGTGTAATTGCTTGAATGCCATCACTTGGCATAACTAAATATGTTGTTTCACACAAATCCAGACACTCTTCTCCCCACCAGTTCTGGCTGTCTGTGCTGCTCTGACAAAGAAAGCAAGAGAAGTTTCAGGAGATTTCCCACACAAGAAAACAGTGGAGCTGAACAAAAGTCTGGTGAATTTACTGTTTGGGTAATCTTTCCCTAGGAGGAGAGAAAGAAAAAGTAGAATCTACTCTTATTTTTGGCCAAGCATGCATTAATAGCAAGTATGAACAAAATCAGCATCCTGCAGTGATGTGGGGAACTGCACATCAGTAAATCACATAGGAAAAATAAATAAATGAATGAATGAATAAATAAATAAATAAATAATAAGCCTTCGGATTTTGTGTCGGGGTAGTGGTGGGTTGTTGCATTGGATTTTTTAATCCAGATCATTTCCATGGCTCTGCAGAATCTCCCAAGGACAGAAAATGTGGGGTTATAACCTGCAGCAAGGGGCAGGAGTGAAGGAAAGAGCTGGAACTTGTGACCCAGACTTACCCACCAGAAAGGGGACTAGCTAGGGAAGTGCTTCCCACATAGAGAAGCACTTAACACACAAATTATCTATAATTCATGAAAAGTCTAAGTTTTGTTTAAACAAGGGAGTTTGCAAATTCTGAGTGGAAACTTTAGTGAAGCAGAGATGCAGGGGCTGCTTGGCAAGCAGGAAGCTTGAGATGTATCAGTAAAGGTCTACCATGTCCAAAACAATGGAGCTTAAAGCCATTGGTGCATCTTGTATAAAAATATTTACTGACCTGCTGCTGACAAAAGTGAATGTATCCACTTACATCAGAGACAAATTATTTTTCCCAAAAATGATTTATCACAACAAATAAAATCTCTCTCGCATAGGTGCTAAACAGTTATTTGTCATTTAAATTTAGAATTTGATCTTTAAGGCAATAACTTAAAGACAATACTTCAAATGAATTTTATTGCTGAGCTCCAGCTCTATTCTGTAGCAGATATGGTATGGTACCTATTATAGCCCTTCAGGACATCCATTTGAGATTCACCTGCTTGAACACCAGAAATTATATTTGAGATGCTGTTGAGGGAAGTCACGGGACAGAGAAAGGGGAAAAAAAAAAAAAAAAAAAAAAGGCTAAGGAAATAATTGAGAGGGGGTGGGTGGAAGGATCCTATGAGGTGGGAAATGCCCTCAGCACAGTTTCCAAGCTGTACTCCAGACGAAGGAGTAGTGCCTTAAATCTTGGTGATGCTAGAAGATGAAGGAAAAAGGAAAAGGAAGGCCATGGGTTAGTGAGGGTGAGTCAGGAGCTGCCATCAGGCTGCCACAGGGTCCCACCTGCCATGTCGAGGCTGCCACCTTGCCTTTAGAATGGACAGGAAGAGGCCTGGGAAAAGCTTCAAACCATGCACATGACACAGGAAAGTGGTTTTAACAACAAAGAAACAAACCCAATTCTAACATTTCTTGTCATGTTTCTTCTTGCTCCTCATACAGAAATTAATTGCTACAGTCACACACAAACAGGCAGAAGGTTCAAGGATGATTTTCTTTCTTTTTTTTTCCAGAAAGAAGACAGTAAGAAAAACTGTTGGCAATTGCAAGGTAACTTCTTCAAGCATCTTCAGTGGTGAGACTGATCTTTTGCTAAAGACAAAGTGTTCAGACAATGTAATTTTCCAAAGCTGCAGAAGGCAGAAAGCCAGCAAACAAACAACAGCTACAAAAAAACGCAGACAATATCATATCCTGGAAAAGTATCAGTAATGGGTCTCAACCTAATGTTCAGCTAGTATTTTAATCATCAAGGACAGCTTCCTCCCAGTGTCCTGAATTCCATAAATAAGAGCTATTTTTAATGAGAATAGCTTCCCAGCAGTTCCCTGTACATATAGCTGTGACTTCAGCTAAAAGAGTCAGAATAAAAGCATACACCTAGCTCAACAGAGGCACGGATAAAAGACATGTAGTCTGAAAAGCTTCATTTACTTCATTTCTGTTGTTGTTTCTGTTTTTCATTAGAGACTCCACCACTGCTGATCTCCCTAAAGCAAAGCCTACATGAATGCAGTCCTGAGCTTGCAGAACCTGATGTGAGCAGAAAAGTGCTTTTACAGCTCCAGCAGGCTGTGAAAAGCAGCAACAGCTCAGGTACCAGCAATAGCCAATTCCTAGGCACCCCACGAAGTACCGGCCTCCTTCAAAAGAACCAAATGGAAACTTTGCAGTCTTGTTTCTCGCTTTTGAAGGCCCATCATGGCAAAGGCTTTCCGCAGGGGAGGGCTACAGGTCAGTTCTGCCAGGCCACGGTGACCACAGGGCCTGGAGCTCCTGCAGAGCCAGCCCCGCTCCCAGCACTTCAGGCTCTCTTCCCTGTGTTGCCACCTCCTGCTCCCTGCAGAAGGGCAGGACTGTTCTTCCAGCATCCCGATATCCTACAGCCTCAGCACGTATTATAAGCTTCGCTTGCTGTGAAACGTCCTATTTCTCTGAGTCTTGTGAGTGTTAACAACGTTGGTGTGAAGCTGTACAGTCCCCACTACATTTTTGGTTCTTCTTAATGCCAAAATCCCCATTTCTAAAGTCAATACAATTAAAGAGCTCAGTGGTGCAAATATTAATCTTCTATATTATAAATATATCGATACCAACCCAAAATGCTGTCAGATTCCCAAAGCAGCTTAAGAGATATAACCAAATCCTTAATTCCTCTCGTTCTTGCTGATCCCTGACATTTTTCACCACGCCACTCACGTTAAACTCCATCACAATGCTTAGGGGGTCCTACAAATATATTTGGTTCCCAGAGCTATACAACTTTGTCTGGACTTGCCTCCTTAACCCCAGTGGAGAAGGTGATGAACA